CAGCAGCAGCAGCAGCAGCAGCAGCTGCTGCTGCTGCTGCTGCTCGTACGTAGAGCGGCGCCGTTATTTTTTTGGCAGTGTTGCGCTTTCATTTGCTCTGTGTTCTGGGCCTAACCATTTTGTTAGCAACACTAGCAGCAGCAACAGTAGCAGCAGCAGCAGTAGCAGCAGCAGCAGCAGCCGCTGTGCTGCTGCAGCAGCAGCAGCAGCACTTGTAACAGCAGCGGCTGCAAAAAGAAACTGCAGCAGCCCTAGCCGTATTCTGGTATCGCCGCATAGAACTGCTTCAGCAGAGCGGCAGCAGCAGCAGCAGCACCAGCTGCTGCTGCTGCTGCTGCTGCAACGCCGGAGGCCTCAGGCTTGTCTTAATTTGACTTGAGGGCCCCCCAGAGCAGTAGCAGCAGCAGCAGCAGCAGCACGTTCATATTCAGCTGAGGCTGCGCAACCAATCCTTCGGCAGTGAAGGATCTGCAGCAGCCGCTGCTGCGGGGGTTTGGCAGCAGCAATTGCTGCATGTGCTGCAGTTGCTGCTGGAGTTGCTGCAGCTGCTGCTGCTGCAGCTTCTGCTGCTGCAGTTGCCGCTGCTAGTGCGCGACAGCAGACACGGCTGTTCAGGTATGAATTTGCTGCTACCTCTTACGCGGGAAGGAGGTGCAGCAGCAGCAACAGAAGCAGCAGCAACAGCAGCAGCAGCAGCAGCAGCAGCACGACGACCAACAGTAGGAGCGTCAGAAGCAACAATACCAGCAGCGCCGCGAATAACCGCAGCAGCAGGAAGGTTAACAGCCGCAACATCAACCGGAACGATAACAGCAGCAACAGCAGGAGTATCAACGGCAGCAGCAGCAGCAACAGCCACAGGAGCAACAGCAACGGAGGCAGCTGCTGCTGCAGCTGCTTCCGTGTGTATAGCGAACATGGGTTCTGTAAGGACGCGTGTGAAGTTTCCGCTGCAGCGGCTGTTGCTGCTGCAGCACTACTTGCTGCTGCTGCTGTTGCTGCTGGTATCTTGGGTCCTATCCACAGCAACAGAAGCAGCAGCAGCAGCGGCAGAAGGAGCAGCAGCAGCAGCAGCAGAAGGTTTAAGGGAAGTTCTGGGGTTAGAGACAGATGAAGAATCAATATTTCTTAGTGATGAGTTAGAAGACGTGCTGCCAGACAGCAGCAGCAGCAGCAGCAGCAGCAGCAGCAGCGATGAGTTTGCGGAGTATGAGGAAGATGAAGAGGGCGAATTTGAGGAGGATGAAGACGACGAAGAAATCAGCAGCAGCAGCAGCAGCAGCAGCAGCAGCAGCAGCAGCAGCAGCAGCAGCAGCACCGAGGAATGGCTAGAAGAAATTGAAGACGCTCTCTCTAAGGGGGCTACACACCGTATATATTATACTTCAGAAGAAGACAGTTTATATAAGACAGACGTAGCAGACAGCCAGTTGCTACTGCTGCTGCAGCAGCTAAAACCCAAGCTGCTGCACAAGTGGCAGCAGCAGCA